TTTCTACTCTCCTTACATACTCTTCACCGGATTTACGACCCCTCCGATAAAGTTCGCGGCCCCTATATGATGTACTATATATATATATATATACACATGTGACGTATTAATGCAGCCGCAGTAGGTACACCTAACCAGATATATGGCACGCGTGTGCATATATATATACCGATCTACAGCAGTGGCAGCAGCTATATGTGCCGAGATCGACCAGCTGTTGATCGCGCGCGCGACGAGAGCAGAGTGCAACAAGCGCGTAAAAGCGTTTCGACCCCCTGCAACCGCGTTCCCCTCGTGCGGGTAAAAACGCGAACCGTGACACGCGGACGGTGATGACGAAAAAAAAACCAGTTCGAACAATACCCCCCCCCTCCCTCTCCGACACCCCAACACGAATATTTTATTATATTGTATTGTTTTCGCGCGGAGTGCAACCCTCGCCGGTGGCCTATTTCCAATATACCATAATATAACGTTATTATTATATTGTAGGTAGGTATACATGCGAGATGTCGTCGTGCATTGTCACGTCGATGCAGGCGGCGACGATGACGAGGGGCTCTCAAATCGATTGTACCGTATGATAATTGTGCCTACTCGATGAAAAAAAATTTTTAAAAAAGCAATCGCGAGTTATTAGGTCTACGTAGTATGTATACTGTATAGGTACCGCTGTTGCATCATGGGCTGCAGACTATTGTAATATTATTATTATTATTATTGTATAAAACTGTTGAATACGCGATTCGGTGGAGTAAATGCGAGAAAAATATCAAAAATATAATTTTGTCTGGCTTAGAATATATAGAGGAGACTGCACTGGAGAGTAGTCGTGATGGGTTCCCTATATAATATACTCCATATAGGTATAATGTTATTTCGATATTAGTGGTATTGTGCGCTTAGAGGTAGGTACACATGGATATATTGGGTAATGGGTATAACATGATATAACGTAACGTCATGATTCGAGTTCGGAATTCGCATAATATAATATAATGGCCCACATCACCCACACCACCCACCGACCTTCACCGGTGCTAGTAAACTACGACTGACCGAGTGTGTGTGCACGTACGCCACCGCCGAGGCTATATTATAATAATATTATACAGCGTGCCACGGCGGTACAGTCGCGTCAATGTTATCTCTTCTGCTCGGGGAAATATTCTGCCGACGGTTCTTCCGCTCCGATTGTTCGCGACCACGGCGGCCGTGTGTGTACGCAAAGAAATAATCCATTAGCTAATGCGATCGGAGAGCGCCGCTGTTTGCCCACCCCGTCGCCGCCGAAACGGGTTACCGGCGATTTAATTTTTTTGATTTCTCTCTCTCTCTTTCCCTCTCTCTCTCTCTCTCTCACTTCCGATAATTATTTGAAACAAACGGTTAAAAAACACGAGAGTGAGAAGTAAATAATTCGCTTTGTGTCCGCGAAAACGACCATATACGTATTATACCATGTGGGATAATAATATACCTAATTAATATTGCGACAATAAAATGAAGAGAGACTTCAGCAGCCACACCGACAATACGATAAAATAATGGACGTCTTTCCGTCGCCATCATCGCGTGCTTAATTTCTCTCGACGGAAATACGTTTTATAATATCATGTAATATATTATTATATAGTAGCTGGGTCAACAGCAGCTTTCTGTCGTATCCATGGAAGTAGCCAGTGACCATATATTATATAACCATAACAATAATCGTATCACTGGTATATGTTGCAATACTGATAATAGCAATACATGCTGGCTGAGAATAGTATGTATATACGTATTTCTTTATCGATTCGTTTGCAATAATATGTAAATGAAAATTATCAACCGAAATCTGTGCTGCGAGGTGTATAATATTGTAATTTATATTATAAATGTGCGGTTGCAAACTGCAGTTGGCAAATTGAAACAGAAATATCGTCTAATATTAACGCAGTAGGTACCTACGTATATAAATGAGAGAGAAGGAGATTATAGAGTATGACACTCGATGAGGGATTAATATTTGTAACACTAATATAACTGTGCATCAAATGTTTGCGATCGTTATTAAAATATCAACTGTATTCCATTTTAATAAACTCTTATTTTGTAATTTTGAATACTGCAGAGTTAGTCCTTAATATGCACTTTAAGGAAGTTATTATGAATTTATTTAAAACATATTGTCAAATGCACTGGAACACTTTTGTACTATTCCATATGGCCACGGGAATAATGAGATAAATAAATGTTTTTCTCTCGACTTAACTACGAATATTATTAAATTTAGTGTCGGAGGTAACAGTTTGTGTTTTTTTTCAATTTTCGTACAGAAAGTCATTGAATAAAACTATCAAAAGTGTGCGCGATTGCTAAAACGATATTAAGTATGTATTCGTGAAGAAGTATCGTCGATGTGTATGAGCGTGATAATAATTAACACATTTGTAATGAAAAGTACCTATAACGAATAAAAACGCAATTTCTATACAAATGAAACATTTTGGAATGAACCGCTATAATAGGTACCTAACCGATACATTGACTACAACGGAATAATAATACGATCGTAATATTATCGGACAGTAATGGCGGTTTTGTCGATTTAGTCGCATAAACTTCATGTAGCCGTCGGTTACATGATAATAATAATAATAATAACTGTTATTAGGAAACAGTGTCGTAACTTTTAAACGATATTTTTCGACATAAATATTACAAATTTAGTACTGCGGAAGAGGGTGAACGATGGACGAAACTTAATGGGTTAAAAGTCCACTATATATATACCCATACACTCACACACACGCATGGTTAGCGGAATTAAGTTCTTGCTATATTTTGATCCCTTGATAATTTCGAGCAACCACTGGTCGTTTAGGTTTATTTTCCGTTCGGCAGATAATCCACGAAAAAAGTGCCATTATATTATAAACGGGACGAAAAAAATATCCAATGACCGCATATTATTGTAATTTTGAGTTTTCGATTTTATTGGGAGAGGGGTAGAACGTAATATATTATATTATTATAATATTGTGTATTATGAACTATCAGCGTGGACCCTGCAGGTACCTGTTTATTATTATTTTATACATGCTCGGAAAAAAAAGGTGGGAAATTCGGTGCGTCGTTATTATTACTATTATTATTTTCAAACGTTCAGGAAACGGATTCACGATTTATAGGTGCAAAAACCGTTTTACGATCGGCACCCTCTTCGTCGTTCGCTCACGGATTGCCTATCTCATATCTCATGTTATCCTCCCCGACAGGCGCGTGGTTCCGGGGAGGGGGGGGCAAGTTCATATCTGTGCGCGTATCTCCAGGGTTTGGGATTCGGTTTATTTTCGTCGTTATATTGTTGCCAAATGGGACCCGCTGTAAACCTAAACGGTTTGTCAATAATATATAATATAAAATATACGTATGATTATGTACCCTATACGTAGGAGGCGAGAAAAAAATATGAAAACACGAGATAATGGCAAAGCTTTAAAAAATTGAAAATCAATTTGTCGTACATATATGGGTAATATGTACTCGTATATATACCCATACTGTAAAGCTTCGACAAATTGTGTATCAAGAGTCTATTTCGATTTAACTGGTTACACTTTATAAGCTTATACATTTTTTATTACGAGAGAAACGTTGCAAAATTACGAGGTAAAAGTGTACCTACGGGGTTTTTAATTCATTAACATAGTAAAATATTTATTTTTTTTAGGTATACGTCGGTCGAAAAAAATCTTATTCGTTTTGTTCGGTTCAGCTGTTTTCCTCATAATTTTATTTATGGATCGGATTAACGAATAGACCTTACCGATATATTTTATGTGTATGGTTGATAGTAAATTCACGTAATAAACCATAATGTTTTATACTGGGTTTAAAAATATATAATGTAAGTAATCAAGCTCAACTTCCGAATCATTTTTTTCGGTTCGATAACAGAAGACGTTCTTGCATTTAATCATAAATGTTATTTCCAAATTAAATTCTTTTACAATCCCCGTAACACGCGTACCTCATTTATCGAAGAAACTCATTTGATGTTACAATTAATGTATCATTGTTTTCAATCCAAACTATTATTAATTATACACTTTTGTATAAAGTCAGATAAAAAAAATACCATATAATTATAGAATGAAAAGTGGCTTGTGCCACACTGAAAGAAAACTGAGTAAAACATTTGTTTACTTTCAGGCCTTATTAACGCTATGCCATTTGTTTCAATTAAAATGTAACGTTTGTTTAAAATCACTTGATATCAATCCGAATGAAAATATCAATTATTTATATTTTTTATTTAAACTATTCATTTTGTATTATACATTTTGATTTATTGGGTATATTATTTATACGTTTATATAAAACTTGATATACCTACTTTATTATGGAAATATTCATTACGAAAATAGTAGTTTAATATTATAAACAAATGTTTTTGAATAGAAAAAATAGGTAAACTTTTTTTTTACTAAAGGGAAAGACGATATTTTTTTACTTTCGTTACCATAACATTATACATCTACATATAATACGTATAACTTATTTTTGAATATTTTCGACTTGATGTCGATGGAAATAATATAAAATTTACGAAAAGGTGCAAACACGACGAATTATTATAATTTTTTTTTTAAAAACGTGTTTTCTTCTCGACTATGAATTAGTGTGCGCGAAAATACATTTATTGCGAGTTAACGTACTATTTCCAAAAGCATGCGGACGACTCGTGTTTGGCGTGTTTCGTTTAACTTATTTTTTTTTTTAATATTCTATTTAAATCAAGACATTGTAGGACAAAACGAATTCATCTAATGGTTGTTTTTGTTTTGACTTCAGTTATATTATTTCGTCATAATATTCTGACCACTTCACGACCTATCTGTTATATAATATTATAATTGACATCTATTTAGCATATTATACGACTTAACGCTGCATTAACGTCGATATATAATAATATTATGAAAGTTGAGAGTATATAACTCGTTAAATACCTGTGAGATAGTGAAAAGCTGTGCCGGTGCAACACGGTGGCGGGCTCGGCGCGGTGGCTCCTGCCGGCGGGCTAGACGGTCCCCACGCGTGATGCTGCTGATGGTGGTGGTGCTGATGGTGGTGCAAGAGCACCGTCACCGGTGGTTCCCACTGTGGACCACTGGATTTCGTCTGCTGCTGCGGCTGAGGCGGCGACGACGGCCGCCTGCTGTCGTAGTCCCACGAACACTCGTTGGCCACGGCAGTCTTCCACTTCTTGGGCATCAGGCACCGGGGCATGGCCAACCGTCATCCGAGATCCTTCCAGTCGGCGGTGTACTCAGTCGCGGAAACGGATACGGTATTTTTGAATTTACAGTCGATATAACGATAGTATATATTATATTATTTGCACCGCGGAACGGGTTTTAAACTCGTACGATTTTTTTTTTTTAAATTTCACGGTGTATTTTCATACGCGGAAAATAATAATGTCTGATCGCACTTTTATGTCTCGATGTGTAAAATACGGACAAATCGCGGTGGTCCGGCGGATCGAAGGAGAAGGATAAGTAAAAAAAAAAAAATTGTAGAATTAGGGGGAAAAAAATTAAAACTTATAAACGTGGACAGGAAGACAGACAGATAGACAGACAGAGATGATGTAGTAGAGACAGGCAGAGACAGAGAGAGAGACAGATAGATTGATAGAGAGAGAGAGAAAAAAAAAGAAAAGAGATAGCGCGAAGAGGAGCACCGAAGCGACTAGACGAAGTGTTTGGTACGCGAGTGCGTTTGGAAATGTTTGGTGGCCGGCACTTATACCGCCGCCGTTGCAGACGCTGCGGTCGCCTCCACGCCCCACCACCCCGTTCGCGCCACGGGGGTGTCGCCCTATCGAAGGGGGTGATTATTATTGGGTGCGCGCGCACCGCGCGCCACCACCGGCGGCGCCTGTTGCGGCCCCGCTGTTGCGCGGTGGCGGTGGTGGTCGCGTCGACGGGTAGTGGCGGCGGCGGCGGCGGTGGCAGTGGCGGTGGCAGTGGCCGCGTCGACGGGCGGGCGTACGGTCGTGCGCGCCCCTCGCACATGAGAGCGCGGAAGCCCGCGCGCACGCACGCACGCACGCATACACGTAAATACGCGCGCGCGCAACCCCTACATCACACAATACTATACATAAAATATATACGGTGGGGTAGTCGTAGTTTCGCGACGGCGAGGGGAGGGTCGTCGTGTTATTGGGGGGCGGGGAGGGCCGCCGCCGCCGCATCGGTCGCCAACTACCCCTATTCGCACGCACGCCGCAACCCCTCGCCGCCGCCCCATCGGTATATGCACGTCGTCGTCGTCGCCGTCGTGTATATAATAATATATAATACGAGCAACTACCACCAGTAGACACGGACTGTGCTCTGCTCGTCGATTGAAAGCTATTTATTTCCATAACACAACATGCAACACGCCACTGCCGCCGCCGTCGCCTCCTCCGCGGCGCGGGTATACTGTCGTTTCGGCGAAATTACACACGTCTCCTCGCGCCACCACCCCCTTTCGTCCACGCCGCCGACGATGCGTCACACCACTTCTCTCCTCTCCGACTATAATATCGCATATAATAATATACCTACACATATATATATATACCCCCGCAACACTGTTGCGGTCCGACCCCTGACCGTCCGCGGGTGTACTTTGCTTTCGCGGTCGTCGGTCAGGTGGGTTGGGTGATAAATAGGAGACGATTACGTAGCACCTACATAATATAGGTACACACACTGGTCGCGAGCGTTCCCCGTCGGGGAGGGTGCCGGAGGTTCGGCGAGTTTTCGATGACTCCGGCAATGATCAGCGCGGCCGCGGGTCCTACACATGCCGTGTTATAATAGTCGCATCGATTTCGACGGGTTTGTTTTTCGTCCGGTTTCTTTTTTTCCCTTCGTCCATTTTCATCGACAACACAATATTATAACTTACTGCGCGTAATGCACATATCGTGTGTCTCGTAACTTTGACAACGTTTCGTACGGCTTTCGACGTATTTTTCAATGTTTCCAAACACCCGGCACTGTTACGAACAGACGCGTGAACAATATTTTTTTCATATTTTCAAACAAAGTCTATACGTTGACGGAACAACTGCGGTCGGGTGCGACTCGTTTGCGCACATTTACCTTTTTTACAACACGTTTGCGCACAAAATCACAACTCGTTTGCGCACACATATTTTAGGTTTAAATAATGATTTTAATATTACAAAAATTAAAATATATTAAAAAACATGCATTGTAGGTTTAATAAGTAATAATAGTAGTCTATTAGTTATAAAATTATACTAATTTAGAATGGTGACATTTAAGTCCGATTTTCTTCATATAAGTTAAACGATTAATAATATTATTTTTATATTCATTCCAAATGTTTTCCAATTGTATCTCCTTATTAATTGTCTCTTTTCTTTTGAAATTTATGATTTTATTGTTTATCGAATTAATCAGATTTTTCGTTGTTTTTCAATTCCCGGCGTATTAGTTTATTTGGTTTAATATGTAAATCCTCTTCGGCTCTACGTTTCAAATTGCTTCTTACTACTTCTCGATGAATTGTTCGGTCGTCGTACTCGTCATGGGTATGCGTGTTTGTAATTTTTAAAATTTTATATGATTCATTAACTAACCTAACTACAGCACTTATGGAACAATTTTTATTTGTACACCTAAAATTTTTATCACCAGATTTTAAAGTTCGGAATTCTCTAAATTTATAATTTTCTATGTTTAAACATTTTTTTCCTCGACACGTTTCAAAAACATCACAAATTTCGATATCCATAGTCAATATAGTCAGTTGTTATAGTACAGCGGCGAACGACTGTTTAAAAGTATTATGCTTTCCTAATACACGACGATTATTTTAAATCGATATATATTGAATATTGATATGCTGGTAATTTGTACTGATAATTTTTACCGATAATTCAATTACTTTAGGTAAGTCCAAATTTAAAAATATAAAATATATGTTACTCAGTGTTTATGTTGTGCGCAAACGAGTCGTCCGTTACAGGTAAACGACTGATTTCGTTGTGCGCAAACGAGTCATCGATATCTAGGTAAAAAATGAAGATTGTGCGCAAACGAGTTGCACCGACTGCGGTCTAGTACTTAAATTAAATGTCTTTACGAAAAACCACGTGAACAACGACGACGACGACGTTTTCCTATAGACATTTTTCGTTTTCATTTTATTTTTCACTGTTGTGCCTACATTTCACTCCTGTTGTATATAGTGGTTCTTCGTTTTCGTTTTTAATATACATGAATATAACATCGAGTACAATGTTACTACTTACTCTAGACCGGTAGTCGAAAGTGCTAAAGTGTAAGAATATTTTTTACATGTTACTAGCGCAAGAATATTACGATTTCAAATTTTTGCAAACTTTGCACTATACGTACAGTATAATATGTACACCTAAAATATTTTCAAATACATGAAAAAATCCATATATTATGTACTATTGCCTAATGCCCTCCGACTATTGGTACACAACATTTTCGTGTTTACTAATAACATAAACAAGAGAAGTTCTATTCTATCGTTGTAACTTGTATACCTGACGTCTTTAATCGTTTTTAAGTCTGTATACCATATTTTCCTGGCGTTTAAATTATATATACCCATTGCCCATTGGCCATTGCTACTATAAATTGTTTTATATTCATTACAATTTGTACAATATTTATTGCAATGTAAATAGTTTGAGCAATATTTATTTTTATAATTGTGTTAAGTCGATTTAATTAATAAATAAATAACGTTTTTGAAGTTATTATTGCTGAATATACTGAATGGTTATTATACATACTAAATACTTGTACAAATACGATATAATGTGGAATAAAACATTTTTTTTTTTTTACTTAGGTTTAAATAAAATATAAATTATGTATTATGATGCATATATGTATAATGAGGTAATTTTGAACATCTGAGTTTTTGATGATATAACAATATTTTTTTTAGGGTGTATTTTGTTGGGTGAAATGTTTTGTTATTATCGATTTCTTTTTGATACATCATTAAAATTAATTACTCACATTTTAATTAGTTTATTATTTCTGAAATAAAAACGTTAGAAATAGTAAAGTTTTTTTAAATTGTATTGTTATTATTCACAAAGGGATGGGATACTCAAATGTACGTGTAAACATGGCCGATTTGATGAATATGGGGGCTACGTGCGAAATAGTTTTTGCAGATTTTCGTGATTTTTCGAGCCTCGGAGGCAGTACTGAGCCCAAATCAATGAATCTGAATCTGTAGATGAATACTTGAAAATGGGTCCGATCATTTATTTTTGAGTCCTTTCAATACTCGGGGCTCTATGATACTGCACCAACTTCAAGCCCTGGCTATAACTCATACCATTTGATATTAATAATTATACAATATCATTAACAATAATATCTTCATACATTTATACTTTAATTTTGGAATTTTTTTTATTGACAATCATTATATTATACTTTATGGGTACCTATATATACCCACACTCCCTCCAATTATTAGATGTGTAATATTGTTTAAACAATTATAAACGCGATACTAAATTATTTGTATTTTGTACAGGCAATTTATCTGTGTTTGTATCACAATATAAGGTTATGTTTGACGAAAATCTCCCTATGAATTGCTTGTGCGTAAACAGTACATGGTTGTATTTGATACCAATCTAGCCTAATGAAGAATGATGCATTATATTGTAAGGTTTTATTATGTCAAGTTGGTTTATGCATTTATAACCGGATGCACTTTTACTGAAATAATAAAGCAGGATTGAAGTATTTTTTAAAACCTTTCCAAGTACTTCGCACAAAAGTACATGCAATTTTTTGTATACCTATATAATTCACTTTGACTCTCATAATAATTGTCGAACAATAAAAAATTTCAAATTAATTAAACACGATGAATTATGAAAATATTTGTAATAGTTGGCTAAATTAATGATTACCTAGGTATATTTAAAATAAAAATAAAAACCAAATAGTTTGTCATTTTTGAAGTGCATTCTTATCGAAGTAGATTTTTGTATATATACAACTTTCCGAATATGTACCTACGTGATATTGGAATTATGCATGTAAATATTATGCCAAGTTCAATAATTTTTTTGTGGAATGTGGATTGATATTTGGGATTTAATTTATATATCATCACACATAAATATTGATTTACACAGTTAATAGTATTTGTCACACGTTGAAAATAACGTAAAAATAATGACAACTGACAGATCTGTTGTGTATTTATTTTCGTGGGCTTTATAATATAAAAAATATCGTTTTAAGGACATGGCATTATTTTTTTAATAAAAACAAACCTAATTAACTTCTCATAGAAAATATTTTGTTTCATTCGTATAGTATTATATATTTTATCTTATTATATTAACATTTTGCCATCATTTTGTGTTCAAGAATTTTCGAAGCGGGCATAATTCAGATTTTATTTTTAATTTAAAAAAAAAGTATACATCAAATACTGAAAATGATATTTATTTAAAGAACTATTTAATATGATGAAACTCCTGCCTGAAAAAAAAATATAAAAAAAATAAGGAATAGGGATCAAAAATAAAAATAACCGAAAATTCACTGGATTAATAATCAGTTTTTAAATATATGCTGCTATAAATAATTGTACTTCATTGTCAAAATAAAACTTAATCTGAATGACGTCTAAAAAAAGGAAAAAATGCTGACATTTAAACATGCAGCTATTATATTATATTGTCTGTATTTCAAGTATTCGCAATTTAATTTAGGTAT